GACTCGGGCACACGCACTTTCCCACGGGGGCGCGCAAAACCGCGCGACGCGTGAACATCACAGACGTAGTTTCGCCCCGCGGCGTGCCACAGACTAGATACAACAATGTCACACCCCGAGAGAGGTCAAAAGGCCTAATATTAGAGCAAGCCCCCAATGCACATTTTGCGGAGGGCGTGTCACCCTATGAGCCTTTTAACCTCCCAGAACTCGCTTCCCGCACTACATGTGGACAACAAGTTTCAGAGTCCACAGCTCCCAGAGCTACTTCCCACGCCATAATTTGCACTACAAAATTGCGTTGGTGAACTCCACCTTTCTTCTCGTACAGTTACACACTTGCAATGGCAACGTCCACCTTCACATCGTTTTCAACGACAGTTACGAATTTGGCAACATCCAGTCCAGTTATACACTCTTTGGCAGCTTCCAGCTGGCGCCGCCATTTCTGACAACAGTTGCACACTTTGGCAACTCAACGCACACGACCTCCGCAACGTCGCCAAGAATTAATTTGCAGTATAATACACAAATTGAGCGCGCAACGCCCGATCTCTGCAGACCTGCAGAGGGTTCACCACTCTCGTCCAGAGATTGCACTCCACCTCACGCTTGCACGTCCGACGCGCAGGATCTCCAGGTGGTTTTGCTTGTTTGCAAGTAGACCAGGACGCTGGACATGAACAAGGCCTTTGACAAGTCAAGCACGTCAGCAGCTGAGAGATACAGCCAGACCATTCGCAATTTTGCACTTAGAGACAAAGGCGGAGCGCGCTTAGATCCTGAGCATTCAACCTCACGGCTGGGCAGCAGGGCATAGCGCATGGCTGTTGACCAGGCACGCTGTTCATAGCACACTGAAAACGACACCATTTCAAGCGCTTCGTGGGCGAGCGTACGGTGGACGCATTTGCGCTGTTGGCTGCACAGTCTTTGCATCGGATGAGCGCAAGTCCAAGTACGAGCGGTGATGGCTTTGAGGACTTCGGTTAGGGAAAAGATGGGGCTGATCAAGACATTGTTGCGTTTGAAGGGTCTCGCGTGGCGAGGACTAGAGCAGTCCGACTTTGCGCGAAAGAGTTGGACAAGGAGCTTTTGGTTGGCTTTGATCCTACCAGGCTCAATGAAGACGGCAACAACCCAACAACCCACCAGAAGTTCCTTCACCAGAAGTTCCTCCTTTCAAAGGTGCCAACGATGTGATCGATCATCATCAAGCCCTTCCTGACAGCGAAGATGAGGACGAGTACACAGCAAGCAAGTGTTGCAGGCAGGGCAAGAGAGAGAAGAGCGCTCCGAAGAAGGCGCAAACAGATGATGGGCCTGCAAGCGCCGACAGTGATCCAATGAACCTCAGCGTTCCACAGGAGGATAAGAAGCACGGTCTTGAAGGCAGAGAGCAGCAAAGAGGCAAGAGTTGCATTCACCAGCTTGGGCTGGCAATGTCAACGTGGTGGATGACAACAATGACGACGCGTATGTGGACAAGCAGATTGATCTTCTAGGAGCGTCGACCTTCAATCCTGAACATCACCCAGCGGAAGTAGAGATGGGCGCAACAGAGAATTAGTGAACGCGCTGAACGTGATGGACCTCCCAATATCAGTGAGGAGGAGTTGAAGCAGTTGGACCAGAAAGCAAAGCTAGAAGAGAGCAGTCGACTACAACGACTTGAAGTTCTGCGTAGCGGCAGCAGATGATGCAGCGACCGCTGACTAGCCACTTTTGCTGGTCGCAACATGTGTTTTCGACTGGAGGTACAGAGGTATGTGGAAACGGCGGCGCAGAATTGTAGCAAGACAGCGCAGGCCAGGAAACAGGTTGAGAAGATGAACTTTGAAAGCTTCAAGGGAATGCCCACAGTGTTCAAGCACCCCACGCGAAAGATGTTTCTCACGCCTCACGTCGATGACGCGCTTGTGGTAAGTCGAGCTGAGGATTGGACACGGTTCAGTGAGGTGGTGAGAAAACAGCTGACAATGAATGCCAAAGGACCGTTTGAGTATGGCAGCAACAATAACTTACTACCAGAAGAAGAAGGTGGTCTTGTCGAGGCCAGGAATCTTTGTGCAGCCGAACCCTCATACATCAAGAAGACGTCGACTTGAACTACGTGGCAAGAAGACCTACACGCGACCACATCACAGCAACCAGGAAGTGTATGACAAGGGCAACATTTAAGGGTCATGAACGACTCAACGCCGAAGAGCCGCGGATGTTCCGATCAGGACTCGGGTTGGCGCTTTACATTGCGCAAGACAGACCAGCTGCCTTAAAGGAGTTTGTCAACCTAGAATATGGCTGGCGAACAAAATTGGCGCACCTGCATTGAGGGAGCTGGGAAGCTATTTGCAAGAAACCCAAGATGCTGGAGTAGTCACAAGTGACCGTTGGGATTTTCCAGAGCAGAGTAAGAGCTACTACCCGACCAGGTTTCACGGACGGCAATTGGGCAGGATGCCAAGTGAGCAGGAAATCAACGATATCATCTGAACGGCAGCCCACCTGTAAGCTCATGCAACCTACAATCTTCCATACCTTGGATAGCTTTACGCAAGCTGCAGTGGCGTAAGTGAGATGTTGCGTGTTGGAAGCCTGCCTCGGTTTTTAGGGGCAGAAGATGCGCGGATAACAGTGTTTAGCGACAGCTCAGCAGCACGGGAAATCTTGCAGAGAGCAGGACAAGGAAAGTTGAAACACATCCACGTTCGCAACTTGTGGGGTCAAGATGTAGTGAAAGAAAAGGTGGTGAGACTTTTGAGAGCCCCAACAGCGAAATAGAATTGTAGACCAGCGCAAAAGAAATGATCACAGTAGAGAAGAAAGAAACAGGCGAGTCTAATTCCTATGGGACACCCGAATGGGGTAGAGGTTGAAACCATTCAGACCATCCAGACAGAGGTGACCCAGAAAACGTTCTGATTAGGCTTGAACTGTGACGGCTTCAATTCTCAGAGCAGCTCTACAGAAAACTATCGCGACGACTTCGAGCACACCGAGATCAGGGCAGTTCTTCATCGACCTCAAAATCCCAACAGAGTGGACCTTTCACATCCGGTCTGACCAAGAAACAGGAGACAGAGAATGACACCAGGAGATGCAGCTAGCCGCTGACCACCGACACACTCGGGGATACTAGCTGAACTTTGTGGGCTTGCAAGGCCTGCGCCAATGTGAACCCCTTGAGGTATGAAGGAGAGCGCAGATCTTTCCTTTACCTTTCAGATCAAGCAATGGTGAGAGAAGCTACGATAACGAGATGAAACAAGGGCCGAGTCCGGAGGAAACGCATTTGTCGCAATTGGGTTCTGGGCCGCAGATTCGGTGTGTTTACACAATCAGGACAGAGCCAAGAAAATGGACCTGGAGATGCTGAAGAAGCAGATGGAGGACCACGACGACGAGTGCAACATGAAGCCTCGCACGAAGCAGCAAATACTGGAGAAGATGATCGACCATATATAAAGAAGGAGAGTGAGGTCTTCAGAACATTTTCAGAGGAACAACAACCTTCTCTGGACATCGTGAAGGTGATCAACATCTACCACTTTGCGGTGGAGACCGACCTCAACCTGGAGAAGTTCGACACGTTCAACGTCGAAAACGAGATTATGATGATCTAGGACATGGACGACGTGGACACGATGGAGAAGATCATGACAGTGGCCCTGGGGAGCTTGATTGAGGCACAGATTCACAAGAAGAAGAACTTTTCGAACCTGACTGGAAACATGAAGGCGGTTTCATCAGCGAGCAGCATGCAGGACATTGAGGACACGCATTGGCAGATGCTGGATGATACTTCAAAAAGATTGAGCAGCGTTTTGGACGGCGCTGAGTGCTGAAGAGACCACCAATGAAGAGTCGGAAAGCATTGTCCTACCAAGACCAGAAGTCTTTCAATGGTACACCGAGCAACTCCAACTGAGAAGAGGAGTTGAGACACACCTGACGATAGCGTTACCGAGATCTCTTGGAGTTCACTCAGCAGATCCTGAACATGGCGATGACAACAAGTGGACTACTTCAGTTTCTACCAAGCTGACGCGGTGGACGATGACATGACCATGATCGAGACCGTTGATATCGGCGATGTGACCATCATCAGAGTGGTGAACCCCAGCGAACCGAACGGCCCGCGCGTCCAAGGACTCGGCAGATTCACCTACCACGAGGAAGAGATTGGACATCGCGAGCGTGGCGACTCACAAGGATTGAGAGCCATGAGCAAGACTCAAATTCATCAGCCTGTTTGGATGTGACCTCCCAGTAAGACTCACTGCAAATGCGCGCGAAGGTAAAGATGGAAACGTATTAGGATGACAATGCAGTTGACTTTACTGCGGCGGCTTGTTCAAGTGGATGGACAAGGAGCACTTTTCCATGTTTGACAAATTTTGCAAAAGTAGTTACAGTATCAGATATTTTCAGAGATCGAGAGGAAGCTTTTGAACCGAAAGCTTCTCTATAAAGCTTTTCAATATACATGCAACATCAAGCAACCATTCCCAGAGATCTATCGACAGCCTTTGAAATGAACACTTATTTAGAGCTATATAATTTTCAATGTGATCATTCCCAAACAGACGAAAAATGTGAAATACAAATTCATATATATACATGTGTGCGCGCGTGTATATTTTGTACAAAATCGTCATTCCCGGAGATCTAGAGGAAAGTTTGTGAAATGAACGCTATATATGAAAGGTCCTATATTCGCAATTCGAACTTTCCAGAGATCATCGACCTTGGGCTTAAAAGTATAGATTAAATATAGATTAAGTTGTAGAAACAATGGTTTCTACAATTGGACATATCGGTGAATATCCACTTTGCAATCCAAAGAGTATTTTGCATAAATGCAAGTCTTTATATAAGATCCATTTCATAGATTTTTACATAAATCGGTCCTCTGTTGCGCGCAGTTTGGCCAGACGAACCAAAGACAATTCTAGAGTTGGCAGAGGGGCATGGTTTCGACTCAACAATTCTTTTCTAAGGACTATTCCAGACATGTCAGGTTGGTATGGAGCAGATCTGGCGAGTTTAGCGGAAGCGTCTTCGAAAGATTGCCTTCCACTTCAATTTGGCCTGTCGAAAGTGATGTGTGATCTCTTCTGCATCGACGATGCTGTTCGCACTGGAACTTCGACGGTTTTGAGCACCTTGAAAGAGTCGCATGATGTGCTGATGACAAACATCCAAGCGCTTGTGGACTACCAGACTCAATATTTGCTATGGGCTATCGGCACGGTACTCGATCCCCAGAAAGTTTCGCTCGAAACCCACGATATCCTTTCAGTGCCAGCTTTGTTGGAAGAGTTGCGGCAATTCCCGAACCAAGAAGATCCCCTCACTTTAGACCGGGAGGTTTTGGATTGGCACAGAGCCACTGGAAGCGACTTGATTTCTCGAATCACGGCGATGTCGGTGAATGTTTCTGTAGCCAATTGGCCTCACCGGGCGAGATCTATAAAAGGCATGCTGCATCACTATCGCACAAGTTTTAAACAAAGAGCTTGGTGGACGCAATCGCGAAGCGTCATCGGTCGCCCAGAAACACATCCAGGGCAAATTGCATTTTTTGAGCAACTTAGTTGAATTGGTTGTACAGCATCCGCACAGCGTCTTTAACACCAATGTGTTTACCTGCCCAAATATCATATTAAAGAAGCAATATATATATATATATACGGTATAATATTGAGTTGGAATTTGATTCTAAATTTGAAACGCGTTGGATACTTCTTGGGAATGCCGGAATGTTTGAAGCGCCCACATTAAGTACATGATTGACTCTTTGCAGAGACCATCGTTGCCAGCATACCCTGAAAAGAAACAAACTGCGTGGCATTTTAGTGATAGCGTTCAAGAGTAATTCTAGGCGTGATTGCCAAGATTTGTTCCAAGCTCTTCAAGGTCATCAAGCTAGTGAACACCGTGAAGTTGCACAGGTCATGCAATCGTTGCACGCGCAGTCACTTCCACTTGTAGAGGATGGAGTTGTTTGGATTTCGATCTCAGAACAAATTGTTTGGGAGTCGATCTTGCAGTCCTTCCTTCACGCGCATGAGAAGCACGACACTTTCACCATGTTGCATTTGAAGGCGGGTGGCCTGAGTAGCCCTGTTTTGAAGCACTTCAGTATTTATTGTAGTTGTACCCGGTCCCTGAACAAAGCTGAATTAGACAAAGGTTTTGGGCTATAGTAAATGTTCTCTCGATGGGCGGCGCAAGGCCCTGGAGCAGACTGAGTACGCAGTCAACTTGGCTCGCAATTTTTCTCAGTGCGCAGGACGGGGTGCCAGTGCACCTGCTTGGACATATTGCCCTGATAGGGGGAGCAATTCGTAGGTTTTGCCACGCGTGTGATGGCCTCGCCCGCAACCAGCGCCCCCACATGCCCCAGATTTGGGGGGATCCCTGTTTGGAACTTGTGGTTTGTAAGCCTGGCAATTGGCCGATTGGCTTGCCTCGCGCAAAATCCAGCACATGGCACATTTTCCTCAGCAGTGCTGAGGCCCCAGGCAGCAATAACAAACCATAACAAATCTTTTGCCACAGGCTTCACTAGGTTGACAGCTAGTGAGCGGGGGCTGTATGTTCAAAATTGCCCGTTCCTTGTGTTCCGGTCAATTGATCGTAAATGTAAATTCAATTAAGACACAATAAGAATATGAGACATCACATGCCACTGAACGTCCCGGATTGTACTCGCATTCTTCTACGTTCCAGGTTCCTTGATTCTTTATCCCCTGAGGTGCGGACACCGCTGTGCTCCGTGAGGCATGGCAAAATGCCCTGCGCGCGGAAGAACGAAGCAGTGAAGCCTTGTTGGAAGCGTGGTCTGCCACCATCACAACATCACACCGCCTCGATGTGGCCGTGAAGGACCCTGAACAGAAGGAAACAATTGTAGAGAGGAAGACAGACAAGAAGGAAACAGTGTGAGAAGATGGAGAAGCAACAAAATGTGATATAAAAGAAAGTCGGCGTGGCTACCATCTTTGCTTTCAAGGCTTGACCCTTGTGAACTCTTGTGAACCGAAACGCAATCAAACTGAGGACGAGAGCTTCTTCGAGCGCGTTGCGCGCCACATCGATCTTGATACGCGCTCGGCCAAGCGGCAGACTGCTCACCGGGGCCATGTTGGCCACGCAGACTGTTCCAGCAAAAACCACACGGCTTTCGCCCAAGAAGTTTACGGCCATGCGGTGCGAACAGTTGTTGCAGCCTTGCAACCATTGGCCATGCAGATCAACATCTTCAAGGCAGAACGGGCCCGGTGCACTGGTCAAGCTGAACTGGCCTAGACTGTAGATTCGTGACAGTGAGACAACCTGTCAGCACGCAGGTACTAGAGACCTACCAGGAGCCTCGCCGACAGACAAAGCTTTGCTCAAAGCGATGTTAGAGCCATTCTCACATCCCTAAGCCAAATGAGCAATTTGTTTTTCCTTTTTACTACTGTAAGTGATTGTCCACATATGTCTTCGCTTGTGAGCGAGTTAGGGCCCCTGAAAAAGCACATACGTGATCATACATGTGATTTGCCGCTAAAGTAGCTTGCACGAGACAGCGTAAACGTAACAATGTGCTCTCTTCAGGTAGTCTAAAGGAGATAGAGGTTTTTCAACATAGGTGCTTGAGTCTAGCAACAAATCTACACATTCGCCGCTCAAATGGCAACAAACAGGCCTAAACATCCGAAAGAGCACAGAAGCCTCACCTGTCGCCCAAGGAGTCGGATAAAGGAATCGAGCGCAATACAGACCGACGCAAGGCCTCTAAAGAAGATTGTAGGTAGGGTTTTGACCTAGTCTTGGCATACACACACCTAGATAGACGTTCATCCAATGTCAGAAACCACGAAGAAAGGGATGAGGGAAACGCACGGCGGCTGAGTCAGCAAAAGCATTTGAAATGTTGGAACATTTGTTTGAACGCTCGCACGAATCAGCAGCTGCAGAACGGCTGAGGGAAAGGTTTTGGGGACTATCATGAAAGGACCATGGAATCAAAACATTGGAAACGGAGGGGGGGCACACACAAGGGGCCGCAATGCGGCGCGCGCTGGCCAGAAATGGCTTTGCCTTTCAAAAATCGTCGGCATGCGTTTGCCGGATGCCCCTTGGAGATGTAGAGGTTGATGAGGTGATAGGCTGCTGTGGTAGCTGCGGAGGGAGGGTAGGTGTACTTGTGTATGGTGTGGATTCTGAATGCTAAGCCGGAAGGGCATAGACATTGGGTACCAGCTGAAGTAGCGTCACAGACCTTCCAAGGCTGGGAGGGTTGGATGTATGTGATCGTGCGGGCGGGTAGGTCAATGTCAAAGACGAGAAGGTGAAAGTCATCCACAGGCTCAAGTTCGACTGGATCGCCGAAAAATTCTTGGTGGATGAGAGTTTGGATGGCAGGGTGTTGCAAGAAATGTTCGTTGTGTGTGTGTGCCCCTTGTAGTCACAGGGATTCTTTCGAATTGTTTCCGTTTTGTTTCCAGCAGGGGGTAGCGGCAGATCATTTGGGACCGCTACCAGCTACCAACGAAGACGCCCATTTGATCTGGTGATATCCGAGTTGGCCACTCCGACGTACCTGCGAATTTTCGTATGGCATGAGGCTAAGCCCAGAACCTCAAAGACATGGCACCTAATGTAGCTGCAGACAAGAACGGTATGTCGTCAACCCGTCGCTTCGCGGCATAGGTATCAAAAAAATAAAAAGAGCATCAAAAATAAAATAAAAACAGGATCAAAAAAATAAAAAGCGAATCAAAAAATACATATTCCTTGATAGGCCTCTTCTGCTGCTCTCCTGGCCTTGTGGTCTGCGGGTCCTCTGGTAATGTGGTCCCTTGGTCCTCTGGTCCACTGGTCCTTTGGTCCCCTCGTCCCTTGGTCCTTTAGTCCACTGGTCCCCTAGTCCTCCGGTCTCCTGGTCCTCTGGTCCTGTGGTCCGCTGGTCCCCTGGTATCCTAGTCCTTCTGTCTCCGAGCGCTCTGACAACGCCATGTAGGGCCTAACTTCGTGTGAACGCCGTGACACTGCAGTACTGCTACCACTACTACTACTACTACTACTCCTCCTCCTGCTGCTGCTGCGCTGCTGCTGCTGCTGCTGCTGCTACTGCTACTGCTACTGCTACTGCTACTGCTACTGCTACTGCTACTGCTACTGCTACGCTGGTGCTGCTGCTGCTGCTACTGCTACTACTACTACTACTACTGCTACTACTACTACTACTACCCCAACCATCCTCAGTTGGCTAGAATATTATTTTTTTGATTACCTTTTTTTTATTGATCCCCGTTGAATATTTTTTTGATTCTATTTTTATTTTTATTTTGATTCCTTACCCTCGCTTCGCTTCCGGCTTACGCTTTGGGCCACGATTCCTTTTGAAGACCTCCAGGATCCAGGGATTCGTACATGTACTCTTAGGAAATGGAACCCTAGGCCGGCGTGTGGCACCGCTGTCCGTCAGTACGCATATCCATAAGTGTGTCTGGCCCAGTGCCAGTCCGGGATGGGCCCGTAGAGTGCCTCCCGTGGACCCGTCGAACGGGTGTCTGTCGTTGTTTCCCTTGCTTTGGAAACGTAAGTGCCCACGGCCTAGGCCGAGAGAACTCAGATTTTTGTCCCATCTTTGGAATTCCAAGTTGGCTCATGCCTTTACGTGACCGCAGCGGTCAGAGGTGGCCGCCCTCGGGCATGCCGTACGTGGTCGCAGCAACCGAAGTTTGTTCAAGGTTCATTGGAACCTGTTGGAGCCTTAGTATTCCAGAGCGATGAGCACTTTCCCTCCTGCCATGTCTCCTTCTCCTGCCGGTCTTGCCCCGATGGAGGGCATACCGATGAGGGCTCAGGCCATTCTACATCGTGAGATTCTTCACGTACACGCCTTATTGGACCTCACTACTTCCCTTCTTCGTACTCGACTTGCCATCCTTTCTCCTTCCTTTTTGGGCTGTGTTACATCGCCCCACCTTCAGGTACAAATTCGAGGACTTGATGGCTTGATCCACGCTCTGAATCTCGACACTATCCAATTGGAGGCCGAGCTACGTGGTACTACCGCCTTCCGCGACCCTC